CCAGCAAACTTTCAGACTGCCAGCTGATGATTGGCTCACAGCGGCCCCAGCAACATCTAGCTGAGTGGCTCCTCTGCAGTGATGCTCATTGGAGATGCTCATTGAGCTGTTTCCCTGCCCTTTCAGACCACGGAGCTGCTCATTGGGGGACTTTTTTGGCTCCGCCCACGCGACCCAGCCAATCTGCCTCAAGAGCAGGAGGATTGTGGGAGGTAGAGAGGCTTGTGGTTATGAGAGAGGCTTGTGGGAAGCTGGTGTGGCAGTTGGGCTCTGAAGGTTTTTCCTGAAGAGCTGTTTTGTTTGGCATGTGTGGTTCTAAAAATAAAGTTCGTTTCTTTTGACAAGTGGCTCCTGAATTGTGCCCAGCCAGACTGTGGCAAGATGCCACTTTAACTATCTTCCAATTTATACTCTTAGAAGAAAGTGAGCCTTTTTAACCACTAACTCCATAAACACACATATCACTGAACTACACATTTTAATATAATATATAGTCATCCTTTGGTATCCTCTGTAGTTTCAGGATAACCTCCCTCTAATCCATAGACGTATTCAAGTTCCTTTTATGAAATGGCATAGTATTTGCATATAGCTTATACACATCCTCCAATATACTTTAAATCATCTCTAGTTTGTGATAACTAATACAATATAAAACTATGTAAATAGTTGTTATACTGCATTACTTAGGGGATAATGGCTAGTACTAACACTTTTTTTTCCAGTATTCTTAATCCAAGTTTGGTTTAATTTTTGGATACATGTGGTTATGAACTGCCAGCTGAATATTCCTTTGAAATAAGAAATGACATCTATTATCAATGAAAATAAAGTTCACCTGAAATGTCTTTCACATTTTGACAAATGACCCAATTACAGTGGTACAAATTTATAATTTTAAAGTAGTAAAAGCAATCACATTGAATCAAATGCACATTTTTGCCAAAAAACTAAGTATTTAAAATCAGTATTTGACCTGGCTAAAGCCAGCTCCTATTATCATCATCATAGAATGAACTACAATACAAGGTAAGTCTAGGATTTCATCCAAAACTATTTATTATTATTTTTTAATGTAATAGCCAAGCATGGTGGAGCATGCCTGTTATCCCAGTGTCTCAGGAGGCTGAGGTAGGAGGACCACAAATTCAAAGCCAGTCTCAGCAACTTAGTGAGACCCTGTCTCCAAAAATAAATAAATAAATAAAAGGAGTGGGGGGCTGGGATGTGCCCCTGGTTTAATCCCCAGTGCAAAAACAAAAAGCAAAAAAAGCAATAGTCAACATTTTAATTTGTTGTTGTTTTAAATTTGTGTTTTTTTGTTTGTTTGTTTTTTGGTACCAGGGGTTGAACTCATCCACTGAGCCTATTTTGCATTTTATTTATAGACAGGGTTTCACTGAGTTGCTTAGTTCCTTCTTTTGCTGAGGCTTGCTTTGAACTCTTGATCCTCTTGCCTCAGCCTTCTGTGTAGCTGGGATTACAGGCATGTGCCACTGCGCCCAGCTACATTTTAAATTTTGACATTAAGGCTGGGGTGGTGGCTCAGTGGTAGAGTGCTTTCCTAGCATGTGTGAG